AACAACAGGAACAACATACCCTCAGGATTACTATTACTGTGTGTCAAAGTAAAGTAGTGGTTTTACTTAAAGGATTAACTGAGAAAGGGGCAGCCAGCAGAATCAGCACACATGCTCCCTACAGTATATGCACTATTACGAGAAGAAATGAATGTAGCTAATGTAACATGGCAATGGGTATGGGCCATCTTTTCAAGCAAATGTGCTGTTTTCAGGATTTAAAAACACATTTAAAAAAAACAAAAACTGGGCACTGGTGGCTCAGACCTATAATCCTAGATCCTTGGAGGCTGATATTAGAAGGATCAAGGTTTGAGGCCAGTCCAGGCAAATACTTCATGAGCCTCTATCTCCAAAATAACCAAAGCAAAATGGACTGGAAGTATAGCTCAAGTGGTAGAATGCTTGCTTTCTGAGCACTTGCTTTCAAGTGCAAAGGTCTGAGTTCAAACCCTAGTCCCATCACGAGAGAGAGGAGGGGGGGAGAGGAGAGGAAGGGGGGAGAGAAAGGAAGGGGGGGAGGGGAAGGGAAGGGAAGGGAAAGAAGAAAAGGAAACTCTAGCACCAGTGGGCAAGCTAAATTCAGAAAACTGCATTAGGGAGGTAGTAGGGAAGCCTTAGAAGATGATGTTAGGCCCCAGAGAGAGAAAACTCACGTAGACCAGAAGCTCCATGCACACCTGGGACAGATCAGACACTATGAAAATTGTGTATAGGGATCAGCATGAGAAGAGATAAAAGGAGCACAAACAAAAGATGGGAGGATTATGATTTTTTCCCTACTTTCTCCAACTGCCAACACTTTTGGTAAAACAATTCATTTTTCTTTATGAAAGAAAAAAACATTGGGTAAAGTGACTCATGCCTGTAATCCTAGCTACTGAGGAGGCAGAGATCAGAAGGATCATAGTTCAAGGCCAGCTCAGGCAAAAACAAGTTCTTGAGACCTCATCTCAAACAACAACTAAGTGCATTGGCAGTGCACATTTGTCATCCCGGTTACATGGGGCACAGCAGAGTCATTTCTCACCTAAAGCAAGGTTAGGCCCAAGAGGGTCTGAGTGGACAAGTGTGCACACCAATATCTTTGTATAGTCTGCACTGAAGGGCATAATCAATTTTGAACCTGGGGACTGAACTTGCAGATCCCAGTATCAGTTACACTTTATGGAAGACATCATCAATGGAGAAAATAAAGTAGAACCAATCCCAACTACAACAGAAACCAAGTACTTCAGAGATAAGCCTAATCTAATCAGGGTATCAAACTCACTTTTAGTGACTTGAAAAGTAAGTAAAAAGAAAATATGGGAGAAAACATTAAGTAGCCCCACTGCCTGAACCCATGCTGTGAGAAAAAGGCACGTATGGGCAGAGGTAGAATGGGGAATGAAAGGAGGACAGGAACAAAAACCAAGATATGTTACCAAAAAAAAGATGGCAGCCGGGCACCAGTGGCTTATGCCTGCAAGCCAGCCTGCGCAAATGGTCCGTGAGACCCTATCTCGAAAAACCCTATCACAAAAAATTGGGCTGGTAGAGTGGCTCAAGGTGAAGTTTAGTACCACCAAAAAAGAAAAAAACAAAAACAGTGACACAAGGGGAAATTAAATGTGGGGTGGGGATTTATGGGAACTCTTTGTGCTATCTGTTCAATTTTTATGAGCCTAAAGCTGCACTAAAAACAATCTATTAATTAAAATAAGTCATTAAAAGAATTAAAATTCTTCTTAAAAAAAAAAACCAATGTAACTATCTGCATTGATAATAAACAACATGTCTTTTCTTTTGGGGGGTGGCTAGACAGGGTTTCACCATGTAGCCCAGATTGGCCTAGAGCTCACTACGCAGCCCAGGCTGGCACTGAACTTATGACCCTCCTGCCTCAACCTCCAACATGCTGGGATTATAAGTGTGCCCCAACATGCCCAACATGCCCAGATGCAACATGTGTTTTATCAGAATAAAACTCTGTCCCAGCCAGGCACCAGTGGCTTACTCCTGTAATCCCAGTTGTATGAGAAGGTGAGATTGGGAGGATCATGGTTCCTGATTTCAGCCTCCCAAACAGCTAGGATTACAGGCATGAGCCACTGGCACCTGGCTCAGCAAGTTGAGATGGTTAGGTATCATTTCTCATTGTCCCCCACCCAAACATAATTATCTTGTCCAACGTTCTGCCCATACAGAAACTCAACAAAGCTTTGCTGGTAGGTATGCTGCATAGCCTAGTCCTCCAAGTCACAGAGCTCTGAAGGCAGGTCAGAAAGCAACAAAGTTGTTTGGAGGAATGAGGAGATCACTTCTCAGGGCTCAGGTCAGAGAAGACAAGATCACTCTAGACATATCTTATGATCAGAGATTTGAACTGAGGTTGTCAAACAGGAAGCGAAGCAGACATGGATACGCCTTAAGAGCCAAAGGCCAAAGGCCAGAGTTGGGACTTCTGAATCAGAATGCTGGATAAGGAAAATGGAGGCAAATACAGACCCAGAACACGTGAGGTATGAAGGTCTGAAGGTTAGCATCAATATAAAAAAAGACAGCTTGGAAGATGGGATCCCAGAAAGATGGGGTGAACAGGGAAGAATCCAGGGACTGACAGCTCAGATCATGTCAAACCCATGGAGGTTGACAAGTCTCTTCAGGAAGAAAAGGAAATCTTCCTTGCACCATTCTGGCCCTAAATTCAAACCCCAGTTCCACCAAAAAAAAAGAAACTATTTGTTGGGGTGCTGGTGGCTCATGCCTGTAATCCTAGCTACTCAGAAAGCAGAGATCAGGAGGATGGTGATAGTGATTTGAGGCCAGCCCGGACAAATAGTTCATAAGACCCTATCACAAAACATCACAAAAAAGGACTGGTAGAGTGGCTCAAGGACTAGGTCCCGAGTTCAAACCCCAAAGAAAACAAAGCAAAAAAAGAGCATGGACTCTTGGGCTAAGGTGTGGCTCAAGTAGCAGAGCACTTGTCTAGCAAGCTGAAGGCTCTGAGTTCAAAACCCTAGAACTGGAGATTGGAGGGTGGTGGCACAAACAAAGTATACACATGTAAGTAAACGTAAAAACAATAAAATGAGAAAGAAAAAACCCTAGAACTGCTTAAAAAAGAAAAACCTAGAGCAGAGGTATGGCTCAAGTGGTACAGCGCTTGCTTTGGAAGCATGAAACCCTGAGTTCAAACCTTAGTCTCACCAAAAACAAAAAAACACCCTACAGAATAGATGCTCATGGCTGCAGACGTAGCTCAGTGACAGAGTTTTTGCCTAGCCTAGCCCATGAGCCCTGGATTCTATCCCCAATATCAAAAAAAGGAACAGGAATATGGACTCTGGAGTTAGATTGCCTGCATTTAATCCCGGCTCTGCCACCTCTAAGAAGAGATGTTAAGCAAGTTATACAATCTTTTCCTGTCTCTGTTTGTGCAAAGTAGGATAAATATTAGCACATATAAGTTTTACAGTGTCTTTGTGAAAATTAAATTCATTAGTAACATATAAAGTAACTAGAAGAGTATTTGGCTCATAATCAGTGCTTAATAAATGTTATTAGCATTATTCTGATTATAGCTACTGTTTCAGAGAATTTAATACTAAGTTGATAATATTTAGTTTGGTATTAAAATGTTTACTTCCCCTAAACACAAATTAAGTGATTATAGAGGGAAATAGGGAGGGCAGGTAAGATTTAGAGCAGCAAAGGGAAGTACACCAGGATAAAAAAATATGAAGTCGATAATCTGAACATAGATAAATGCAGGCTAAAAAGAAGTGGGTAGGTGTGGGGGCCGGTAGCTCATGCCTGTAATCCTAGCTACTCAGGACGCAGAAATCAGGAGGATCGTGGTTTGAAGCCAGACCAGGCAGCAGTCTGAGAGACCCTATCTCAAAAACACACATCACAAAAAAGGGCTGGTGGAGTGGCTCAGGTATAGGCCTTAAGTTCAAGCCTCAGTACCACAAAAAAGAAAAAAAAAGGGTAAAGTGCCTGCCTAGCAAGCACAGGTCCTGAATTTGAATCCTAGTACCACCAAAAACAAAATGAACAAAAAGAAGTAGGTAGGGTTAGGGATGTACCTCAGTGGTCAAGTGTTTGCCTAGCATGCCAAGGCTCTGAGTTTGATCTTGAGCACCACAAAAAAAAAAAAAAAAAAAGGAAGTAGGTAGTCAGGCATGGTAGCACACACCTGCAATCCCAGCTACTTTGAAGGCTGAGGTGGAAGGATTGTGAGTTTGAGGCCAGCTTAAGCAACTCAGCAAGACTGTCTCACCAAAAAAGAAAAAAAAAGGGTACATAAAGCCAGGTGCTGTGGCAGGAACCTGTAGTCCCACCTACCTAGGAGGCTGAGATAGGAAGATTTAATGAGCCCAGGAGTTTGAGGTTAAGACTGGTCAACATAGGAAGACATTATCTCAAAAACAAAACAAAAACAAAAGTATAAAGGGATAGAGTGATGTATATACTTGTGATAAAGTAAAATTAATGCTAGAATTTATGTTATGAGTATATGAGTATTTGCTGTTAAATTCAATTTTGTTTATGTTTTGGGGCTGGAAATGTAGCAGAGTAATAGAGTCCTTGCCTAGCATGCGCAAACCCTGTGTTTGATACTCCACACAATAAGGAAAAAAAAAAACTAAAAAAGTCTCAAGTAAGTTAGGAGGAAAAAAAGGAAACAGACTTTGACACTCAGCCCAAGTTTGAGGTCACCAGCCATGTTGCCTATCTTCTAAGCTCAACTCCTGAGCAAGATTGGAAAAACCAAATGGTTTTAGAACTCACACTCCTTATCACCACTCTCCTGCACTAGAGGAACAGTGTTCTGGTGCTCACCCGGCCTGTGGCATGATTAGATAGAGGCAGAGGGCAGAGACCAAAGTTCTACCTGAGAAGTGTCACCCTCATAGGACTGTTCAGGAAAAACCTCAGAAATAGGCTTAAGCCTAAGGAATGGCAGGTGGGGGGGCAGGAGGGGAGGCGGGCAGGTGGCATACACTCACTCATGGACTCTGCTGTCACCATAGAGATCACTCAGGCCGAAGCTGATATAGTGCCAGTGCTCGGGGATGTTGGCAGAAGGGCTCCCCATGTTCCTGTACATGCTAACATAGTCCAAGGGGTCTGGGCCTCCCAACCTGCAAAAGATAAAACATGGGGATGTTACTGTGAGCCTGGAAACCAGATAACGTCAACTAAGAGACTCTGCTTTAGAAAGGCAAAGGCTTCATCCTGGAGGAGCCTGTGGTGACAGATAACTAAAGGGAGGCTACATCTCCCTAAGGAGGGGCTACATCTCGATGGAGATGAACCAAAGGGACAAGCAGTTGAGGCTGCCCAATTCCACATGTACAAGAAGCTCGCACCTCCAACAGGCAAGGCCTCTTTTAGAAATAAAACAATCCGGGTTAGTTGCCCATTTCACTTTCTCCTGTTTCAAATTACCCATCCCAAAAGGGACCGTCAGGGATTACTGCTTCTTCTGTGTTGCCTGTAAACATGCCAAGCTTCAAGGCAAGAGGTGTACTTGTCAATCAATTGGCCTCTGTTGAATGACTATCCAGAGCATCCCCAACAGGCATTGTTCCTGGAAGCAGAGGCTTTGCTTCACTCCTGCCTCATGGAAAGCTTGTTCCTGAAAGACTACATTGTGCCTTATGTGATTTACAGCTTGTTCTTAACACACCCAAGGCCTGTAGTCTGCACAGACCCCAGCCTGAACCTTGTGGACCAAAGCTGGCCTTTTATTATTACAAGTGACGAAGGCCAAACTTAGGCTAGCTCAGCTCTGCACAGACAACTGCAGCAGGAGCCAGGCTGAGCCCTGTGAGTGCCTGCATCCAGAAAAGAATCCCAGGAGACTGTTGTTTCAAAGGTAGAGTTAGGACATTAAATGCTTTGTGGCCTCTGAGGACCACATTAAATTTCCCCCACAATTCCGACAGAGAAGCAGTTGAGTAAGAAATTCAGTCATTACCTCACTCTAAGGATTTAGTTTAGTAAGGATTCCCTTTAGTACAGTAATTAGTGCTTAAAAAAAAATCCTGCTTTCCTTCAGAATGGATAGGGAAACTTAGTAGACTATAGAAACACACTAACTGGAAACCCATCAGCATAAGGAACTCTGCATTTAGCCCACAAACACTACATTTGAGTTGCCTCAGATAGCTGACCATTTCACAGACTGTTGCAGTGCACTTTGCAAGTGGGCTAGGCTGCTTCCAACCAAATAAAAGACATGGTGCAGGCAATCCCAGCAAATGTGCCAGGATCATGCAATTCAAACATAATTTAAAAGCAGTAGGTCTGGTTTTATCCTGTTTGCCTGGATATTATTTGCCTTTGTAGAAATCCTTATACTCTGCTACAAAATGTTATTTATAGAACTTGTAAGAAAGTCACCAAGAATAGCTTAGAATCTCAACTGAATTAGGAAAAGGGACAAATCTCCATGTCTGCTCTTAACTATGATTTCACCAAATCATTTGACTAACTCCACAACCAGCTGGCTTTAGAAAAGTTTGTGAGGGGAAGGAAGAAAAGAGGTAGAAATACCTGGAAGGACCCTATTATGGTTACAGAACCCCAGAACAGATGGGAACGACTACAGGCCCCATATCTTCATTGGTTTCCTGCTGCAAATTCCCAATCCTGCCTCTCCTACAGCCAAGGTCCATAGTTTCCACGAGCAGTGAAACTATGTTTACTATCCTCTGTTCTGTCTGCCATACCAAGTTTCCCAGGAAGTGTTACATCAAGGAGAGCCTTTACAAAAGGTCAGGCAATGACCAAGACTCAAACAAAGCTAGCTTCAACCCCAAACAAGAGTTTTCCACTCTACTAATCAAACCCAGATAATATGGAAAACCATTATATATTGTACTTTTAAAAAATGTTATCAAAAGGCAATTCCTCCAACACATAACTTCGCTGCAAAGATCTACATTTCCACTTTGATCCTTGCTTATCAATTTCCCAACTTTCAGCTAGAATGTCCCTGCTGGTCAGGGACCCTATGCCAAAAGATCCGCTGCTCAGCAGCAAAAGGAATCCCAAGGTACCAGGGCCACGGACAGATCCAAACAGCTCAGAAGGAATCCCAAGGTACACCAGGCCCCAGACAGATCTAAACAGCCTAGGTCAGACACCCTGCTATGAGGACTGAAGAGACTGGCAGGACCTTAAATGTGAAGGATAGGAATGAATTTTAGTATCTTAACTTTGCAAACCTCAGAACTAGTCACTGAGCTGTTCCCTCTTAGACTTTTCGGCATCTAGGCAGCATTTCTAATTTCACACAGTGCTGTACACTCCTCCTTATTTGTCACTGCACACTGACCCATCTCTCAAGATACGGCCTGGCTAACCAGCTTGCAACAAGAAGAAAAAAAATTGCCCTAACCATTCTTAGTCCTTTGCATGATGTTTCAATGTCTTTTACATAACTCTATCCTTGATAGCCACTGGGTGACAAAAAAACAGTTGTCCAGTTCTGTGCAGGGATTTCTCCTCAGACTTAAATGAGACTTAAACAAACAGCAAGGCAGAATCAGCCCTACTTTTCTTATGACATGGGACAAGTTCATAACAACAGTTAGAGAGGTGCAATTAGAACGGGTGATTAAGTTAGCAAGAGCTAGTTTCCACTCAAAAGCACTCTTCAAAAACTCCTCTGAACCAAAGAACAGTTCATCTGCTAGAGAGGACTACACTGCTGACCATACCTCCTCCTGGCTACCTGGACAGAGGAGGCTGTTCTCTGTGGCACCCACTTAGAGAGCAGTTTCTTAGGCCTTCCATGCTGTGGTCTTCCTTGCATCCTTGCACTGACACAGGAATGTGGTCTCAATCCTGTATAGCCTAGCTACTGCCATCTCCAGAGACGGTAAGAGGTCATGGAGGAGAAAGACATGGTCCTAAAGGAGAGGTAACCAACAAAGACATCCACTTCCCTCTTCAGGTCTACCCTTTGCCAACACCCAAGCATGATCCATTGAAGGGGTTCATCTAATACGGTGCCTGCACGAATGTGGTCCTGGACAGATTCAAGCAATTCCTCAATCAACTTTGGTCCAGAAAGACCATGAGGATAGGCTGTTTTCCATTCCCCATAACACCCGTTTTGCCTGAAGGCTAAAGGAAGAAACAGGTTGCAATCAGGAATGGGAAACCAGAAAAAGACCATTCCTACCCCCAGGGCAGTCATCTGTAACTGATCTTTTAACACAGCAACTTGAGGCATACCCTGGGCTTCCCAGAAAAATTGCTGCCTAAATCCTTGAGCTGTGGACAGGAAGCTCCTCTTAATGTTCCACTGCACTTCTTTCCTCCCTGCCCAGAGCTCAAGTCTTCATCACGTCCCACTGAAAGTGGGAAGATACGTAGTCTTCTTCAACCCTGAGTCAGACCATGGCTCTCCCTGCCCTGTTCTTAACTAATGTCCTAAAGCAAAGCAGCTGCAAAGGCAGAACGAAGCTCTGCAGAAAGAAAGAGAACTGTGCAGAGTAAGCAAAAGTTTATCAGGAAGAGTTGCTCCATCAAACTTCAAAAGCAACAGCTTCGCACTGATAGGACTTCTGATGTCATCGAGAAAGTATCAAGAGACCTCCTCCTCAGCTCTTCACAAGCACAACGCCCTCATCTTGCTCCCCTCCTAATCCACCGGACAGCCTGGGACCCCAGACCCGCCCTTAGCCTATGCAGTCCGATGCCCTCAGAGTTCCAACCACGCTCCTCCAAAGCCCCCAAGCCCCGCCTCGCCTCCCCCATCCCTCTTCAGCCGCCTCCCCATCCCTCTTCAGCCGCCTCCCCTTTGCTTCCCCTCGCCCACTAATGACCCCCTACAGGCGCCCCCTCCTTTCACCACGTTTACAGTTCCCTCTGCTCCTACACACACCCCCAGTTCTCACTCTATTCTCCTTATCCCGGTTAACCCTTCGCTATCCACTGGGTCTGTTTAACCCTTTGTCCCCATTCTCAACTTCGGTCTTCACTCCTTTCCTCACAGCAGGAAGCCCTCCTTCCAAGTGCTTTAATATTCTTCTCCCTCCTCCCCCTCCCTCCAATCACTTCGTCCCCGGCGCTCGAAGCTTTCCCAACCCGCCCCTGTCCTCCGGCGGCCCAGCGCATACCAGTACTTGACGATAGCGGTGACCTGGAGCGGGTTCGGCTGGTCAGGGTAAAGACGGCGGCACTCTCCGTAGATGGCGTGCAGTCCCGGGGGAAAGAGCGAGGCAAACGCCGGAGGGGCAGTAGGGCCGGGGGCTGGGGGCGCGGTGGGGCCGGGGGCACCGCTAGGCCGCAGCTCCGCCATCCGGGCGCGTAGTGCGCTAGGGGAACCCGAGAGGGTGGAGAAGGGAGAGCGCACTGACTGGCCAGCGAACAGACTCTGTGGATGCGACTCCCGGAGACTAAGGGGACTGCAGCGAGAACTAGCTCTGCGCCTGCGCACCGCGCACCGTCCGCCCAAGCCGTCGCCGCCGCGGAGTCTGCCAGAGGGTGCCTCGGGGCCGCGGGGAGCTCTAGAGGGCGGAGCGCCGGCGCGCCCTGTCGCGGCACCCATTGGTTAGCGCCCTTGTCAGTCACAAGCGGGGAAGGCGTGACTTGATAATAGACCCCACCTCCCTTTCCTAAAGTTGGGAGTGTCCCAAGGCTCTTGACCTCCCCCTAGTGATAGGAGGAACCCAAGCTTAGAGTCGAAGCATTCTTCTGAGGGCGCTAGTGTCCCACGAAAGCACTGAGAACTGCGTCGACAAGACGCTTGTCACTGTTTTGCTGTCACGATAAGAATGAATTTAAACATAAATCTGACAACGGATTGATTCATTCATTCGTGCAGCATTAGTTTTAACAGATTATAAATCTTAATATTTGTAGTGCTATTGACAAAAGGGTCCCTACCACTTGAAGGGAGATAGGGGAGGAAATAATTCAATGCGTTGACAGAATTTCCCTTCATTCCATTTTCTCACCCAACAAGGTCAATACTAGCTCCTCATGAAAATCACATACTAGAGCTGGGCGCTGGTGGCTCACGCTCGTAATCCTAGGTATTCAGGAGGCAGAGGTCAGGAAGATCGTGGTTCGAAGCTGACCCCGAGCAAATAGTTCGCGAGATCCTATCTCGAAAAAAAACCATCACAAAAAAGGACTGGTAGGCCCTGAGTTCAAACCCCAGTACAAGTGGTGGAAAAGGAAATTGCATAGTAGTTCAGAAAATGTTCGTCTCTCAGAAAGTTTACAACAATCCGGTAAAAGTAAATAAATAAATAAAAACAATGACAAGGTAAAGTTTTTTCTTAAAGCTAAATTTATGCAATTTAAATTATTTTCCTTTATGTCCTTTGCGTGTGTGTGAAATTTTCCTTTTATAGAATACTAGACCCAAATAAAAACACGGACAGTCAAAATAAATAGACCCAAATAAAAACATGGTAACCTTATATTGTCCAAATGAATGGGGTGGCAGTGGCAGGACTGATCTTTTAAAATCCAGCAGCCACGAATTACAGACCAATCCAAACCCAACTACACACAAGTACTCAATAAGACTACATACTTCAATATGCATTGCGAACCCTCTTCGAAGGGACTATAAAACCCAGTCATGCAAGACAACCACCACCTTCTGCCTTTAATCTATCAGAACTACAAATTCCAAGGCACAGTGAAGTCGGAAATACAACGCCCTGCCTCTTACGTTAGGCGGGGCTCTGACGCTAGCTGGAGAGCTAGTCTTGGTGCAGGGCATGCTGGGGATTGTAGTCCTTCCGTGGAGAGGTCGGACCGCTCCCTGCACGCCCTGTGCCGGTGGTTTGACTGCGCATGCGCTTCAGTGGCGCTAGCAGCGGACCGGGCTGGCAGTTCCTGCCTCGGAAGGAGAGATTCCTCTGCTATGGAGTCCTACGATGTGATCGCCAACCAGCCTGTTGTGATCGACAATGTGAGTTGCGTCTTTGCTAATTCTGTAGGGACTTGTGCTCTTATCCCCGAAGAGATCGCTTCCCGTGTTTCATCCTGAACCGCCGGCTCTTTGTCACTGGCCCGGCCTGTCAGGCGGGTTCAGCCACCGCCGCCTCCGTCCTCCCCCGACTCATAAGTCTGCAGGCGGGTGGCCAGGCTGCAACCGTGGGATGAAGAATTAGGGGCCGACCAAGGTAAGAGCTGTAGGCTGAGCGGGGTCCTTGGACCCTTGGCTGGAGGGGCCTTAACTGCTCAGAACCTGGCACCCGCCCTCGCCCCAGCTTCCGGTCATTCTATTGGCTGTTCTGGCTGTCCGTTTTGGCGTATTGTCCCGCCTCTGGGCCTTGCCGGATGAGAGCAGCGCTCTGCAGTTTATTGGCTCTTGTGAGTGTCGTTCTTCCGTCCGCCATAGTGTTTTCCACCCCCCGCTCCGAGGGGCGGTGCAGTCCTCTAGGGCTATAGGGATTGGCTTAGGGATGCCATGAGGGAGGCAGGAAGGTGAGGGCGTACCCGGCGGGTGGAGTGCAGCTAAGTTTCCTTGGGTGCGAGAGCTAGTGGGGCCGCGTGGTGGAGTGTATCTGGGTGGGGCTCGAGAATCTGAAACTCTATGCCATAGGGTTTCAGTTATTTCTGTGATTATAAACTGTAGTTAATAAAGATCGAGAAAGACAGAAGAGTGACAAAGCAAACGGGGAGGTGCCTTCCTCTTCTGAACGCCTAGTTGTCAGGGGGAGAAATTACCAGACATAATACGCAGTGTTTGCCGGGCTCTCTGGCGCTTCCAGGACGTTTTCACCTACGTTCAAGTTGGATCTTCAAAAAGACTTGGGTGCATAGTTAAAAAGGAAGTTTGATCATTGTTTCACGGAGAAACTGAAGTATGAAGTGAGAGATGCTCTAAATCCTATGGTTTATCCGTCATTCCTTTTGCAAGCAACCCAACGCAAATGCATCAATAATGTAAATGGAAAGAATCTAAATACGGCTCTTTTTTTGGGCCGGGGGGATGGCAATTAGTTTCCATTTCTGAATTCCATTTAAAAGTTTGGTACCACCGAGATTGGTTGATACCTTTCCGTACCCATTCTAGGACCCTCCATTCAGGCAAAAGTAGTCCTTCTGCCCGTCCTAGGCCAACTATCAGGTTCACTCTGTTGTTCCAGCCCTTAAGACCTTGGGCGTCCTAGGTTGTTTTATTTGCACCATCTTGCTTTAGTTTCAGCTCTGGTAGATAAGATGGAAATTACTTTCCCTGGTTTATGCAAGCAAGTGAGGTTTGGGAGAAATTATTCAAACCACCCAGTCTTGGAGTTGAGGAGCCAAGATAGACTGAAATCTAGTTCCACGCTCCTCAATTTTTCCAAGGAAATGTGCTTTATTTGCCATTAGCTTTCCTTCTCTCCAGAGGTATGGCATCTACCTTCAAAAAGGAAAGGTTGAACTCATCTAGACACCTTGTTTTTGAGAGTATTTTTTGTCTTCCTTACCAGACTATTTAATCCTTGTAGGAAAAGATGGCATTTTTTTACTGAGCTCCCTTTACCCACACACACACACACACACACACACACACACACACACACAGTGCTTGGGGACTGGCACCATTATGTTCTCAATAAAGTTTTTTCATTGGATAGTGGGTGAGTGGATGAATGACGAAATGACTCTTATCACAGCAACAAAGACACCTCTAAAGTAAAGAAACGATGAGGGGGTTCCAGTAGTACCACAAAGGATTCAACAGAACTCCTCCTTCATGTTAATTTTCTATCTTTAGTCCCTGTGTGCTTTATATACCTTTTTCTTAATTAGAAAAAAATATATAAGCCAGGTGCCCGTGGCTCATGCCTATAATCCTAGCTACTTGGGAGGCTGAAATTGGGAGGATTTCGGTTTCAGGCCAGCCCCAGTAAACAGTTCGGAAGACCCCATCTCTAAACAATAACCAGAGCAAAAATGAACTGGAGATGTGTGACTCAAGTGGTAGAGTGCCTGTTTTAATCGTGAAGCCCTGAGTTCAAACCCCAGTGAGTGGTGTGTGTGTGTGTGTGTGTGTGTGTGTATAGATATATCAGCCATGTAGAAACAGCAGTTTCCATCCCACTGATTCCTTTGCTTCTTGAATTGTTTGGCGGGAGTTCTGTCTCCAGCCATTTTCTTTAATGTCACTGAAGTTAGTGCTTTTTTTTTAATATACTTTCTCTATACTAATAGTACCATAAGCCCTCCATATCCACAAGTTGTACATCCTTCGATTCAACCAAGAGTGGATCAAAAAAAATTTTTTTTAATTGCATCCATACTGAACAAGTATACTTTTTTTGTCATTCCCCTAAGCAGTATAACAACTATTTACATATCATTTCCATGTTACTAGGTATTATAAGTAATCTAGAGGACTAGAAATATAGCTCAGTGATAGAGTGCTTGCCTACCATGCTCAAATTTGATTGCCAGTTCCACACACACACGCACACACACAAGTAGAGATGATTTAAAGTATATGGGTGGACTGACGAATGGGTTAAGAAAATGTGGTATCTATACACAATGGAATTTTATGCAGCCATGAAGAAGAACGAAATGTTATCATTCGCTGGTAAATGGATGGAACTGGAGAACATCATTCTGAGTGAGGTTAGCCTGGCCCAAAAGACCAAAAATGTATGTTCCTCCCTCATATGTGACATTAGATCAAGGGCAAACACAACAATGGGATTAGAGACTAATTGAGCAGCATGATAGAAAGCGAGAGCCACAAGGGAAGGAGTGCGGAAGGTAAGACAACCTATACAAAAACTAGCTAGCATTTGTGTCGCTTAACGCAGAGAAACTAAGCAGCTACCTTAAAGCCAACTGAGGCCAATAGGAAAAGGGGACCAGGTACTAGAGAAAAGGTTAGATCAAAAAGAATTAACTCTAGAAGGTAAACCCACTTCGCACAGGAAATCAAAATGTGAAGTCAATGCCCCTGTATACCCATCCTATCTCAACCAGCAAAACCCCTTGTCCCTTCCTGTTACTGCTTATACTCTCTGTCTACAACAAATTAGAAAATAAGGGCAAATAGTTTTTGCTGGGTTATTTGAGGGGGGGGGAAGGGAGGGGCCGGACAGTGGGTGGTAGGGAGGGGTGGGGGTAGGGGGGAGAAATGAACCAAGCCCCTTTGTAATGTGCACATATTGAAATATAAAAAGAAAAAAAGGAAAAAATAAATAAAATATATGGGTGGGAGGGAGGGGGTGGTGGGGAAAGAGGTGGGAGAATGAATATGGTGCAAATAATGTATAAATATAATACACACATATGTAAAATGAAAGTGGATCCTGTTGAAAACTTTGGTTTCCACGGGAATCAGGGGAGAAGGTGTGAAAGACAGCAGTGGAGGGGGTGAATTCAAGTATGATATATTTGATACATTGTAAGAACCTCTGTAAATGCTACACTGTACCCCACCCAGCACAACAATAAAAAAAGTTTAATTAAAAAAAATGCATGGGAAGGGGCAGGGAGGTGTAGCTAGCTCAATGGTAGAGCCAAGCATAAGTCCCTGGGTTTGAACCTCAATACCACAAAAAAAGAAGAAAAAAAGTTAATGGGAAGATGTGCGTAGATTATCTGCAAGTACTATGCCAAGTTATGTAAGAGACTTGAACGTCTAAAAGTTTGGGTATTTGGGGAGTCATCCTGGAACCAATCCCCCTAAAATGCCAAGGAATGACTGTATATTTGAAATCCCTCAAAGCAGTGGCACATTTTCAATTTTAAGATTTGACCTTTCTCCAAGAAAACATTTTCTTTATTATGCCAAAAGGTGAATTAGGAGAAATTTAAGTCATTTTTCCCGTCAGGACTTGCTGCTACATTTTCAGATTTGTGACCTCCTTGGGTTGTTCTTGTTGCCTGACATTTAAAGGGTTTTTGTTTGTTTGTTTTAAATGTGTGTTTTATTTTTAGTTAGCATACGTTGATGCTGTGAGGGGTTTGTTGTGATAAGTCCAGTGGTGCGGGCGCCCGGTTCACTCGCTCCCTATATTCTCATCATCCTGCCAATTCCCCTTCCTCAAATGGTGCTTGACGGTGGTGTAATGTACTCCAGTCCACTTCCCTTCAGGGCCTCTTCCCCGCCTCCGGTTTCTCATCCCCACCGCACGCAGCCCATTATTATTTACATGCATTTCCCATTGTTATCATCATCGTCATTTTTAGGTGTAGATTCTACCAGTGAGCTAAAATATGGGATGTTTGGCTTTCTGACCTTAGCTTAGCTTACCTCACTCAACATTGCTTATTTTTTAAGATGGAAAATAGAAAAAAAAAATCTGAAGTGTTGGAGCCAACCTAATATAATGAAAATAATGCATCAATAGCAAATTTTACAACGTCCAGCTTAGCATATTGCTACAGTTTTCATTCAAAGCTAGGAGACAGTGACTCAAAGAAAAGAGAACATGGGCTGGAAGGCGTGGTTCAAGTGGTAGAGCACCTGCGTAGGAAGCTCAAGACCCTGAGTTCAAACCTCAGTACCGCCAAAAAAAAAAAAAAAAAGGAAAAAAGAAAAGAAAACAAAGAAAGGGAAAAGAAGGAAGCATCACATTATCATTTCATAGCCTTGCGCAGTTTTAAGACAACTGTGACCACTCCTTTCATCCTACTCAGATACCTAGCCAATTCATTAGAATTTAATGAGGAAAATGAAGGGGTAGAGGGATGTGCTTTGATGACAATAAAGTATTTCTTAAAATGAACGTAAATAATCCCTTCCTTAAGGCATACCATAGATAGTCACACAAGAGAAGAGAAGAAGCCAAGCCATATTTGAGGACTACAACATTTTGGTCAGGTACTATGTTTATTCTGAAGCTCAAATCTTTGCTAAGATATCAAAGGTTACAGTTTTGGTCTAAAATGGATCCTCATTCTTGTCAGTCTTAAAATTGTCTCAGCCGGGTACCAGTGGCTCACACCTGTAATCCTAGC